CATATACAATTCTCCACGCAACCATTATGCGTTGCCGCTCGGCCATCAACGTCACGTTTCCCCCGTTCTTTTCTTCTTCTTGTACTACTACTACTACTACACTGTTCCTTACTTGCACGTATTTGCATCCAACGGTGTGCTTGAGTTGATAAGATGGGAGACAGGAATGGGTCACCGGATATATATTCGTGCCATGCGGTTATCATAGTCGTAGCCTAATACGCCAACAGTTCGTGTGCATATATACATCGATCAGGGCATCGAGCTGTACTTGACCTACATTGATTAGTGCCCATATCATTTCCACACGATTATTTTCTAACTAATCTAGGTTTAAGTAGTACGAACCAAAAGGCAACTTTGCTGATGGCTGCAGCACGTACCGTTAGACGCCGGAGGACGGACAAGGCGTGGTAGAAAACGTTGTGCCTGTCGGTCGGGGACTACAGTCAACTATAGCTACGTGATCGAGTCGCCTAAGCAGCTAGCCTGGTCTTACTGTCCTAAAAAAAACCTAGCCTGGTCTTACGGGCGTTTAACTAAATCAGCATGCGCGTGTGCAATTTTGCAGGGAGTTAACGTAGCAGTGACTGGATCAACGAAAATAATTCACTTCAGAATGAAGCCAGATGAAGTGCCGAAAGGCTTACTTCGAATGTTGGCTATGCTTTGCTGGAACGTCGCCGACGCGGTCTCGTCGTCTCCATCCACGCCTTCGCCGTCGCCGTTCTCGTCCTCGTTGCCGTCGTCGTCTTCATCCTGGCTGAGGAAATCCATCACAGAGACCGGGCTCAGACGCTGCTTCCGCTCTTGCTCCTGCTCCAAGTGGGGCGTCGCCTCGAGTCCCGCAACCTGTTATTGTGGCCCGATCGAATGCAAATAAAAAACCAGGTTAGACTAACATGATCGGAAAAGACAATCCAGACGTGAGGTGAATTCCCAGGAAAAGAGTGCACTCTTGCCTTTGTTTCGTTGCTACGGCGGCCGGCGGCACCTGCACCGACGCCACCGGCTTGGCCAGGCTCTGGGTTCCGTCGTCGCGGTAGCATCGCCGGCGACGAACCATCCCTAGTCCCACCGGCGGTAGTCGACGGTGAACAGCTGGGTGCCCTCCTGTCCACCGCCTCCTCACCCCTCCGCTTCTTCCAGAAGCCCATACGCAGCCTCCTCGGGGAATTCCCGGCGAGGGCGACCTCCCCCTCCCTTCCCGACGGCCGGAACAGCGCAGCTCTCACCGCGGCGGATACCCTCGCGATGACATCACCGTTCCGCCGTGTGGTACGGAGCTCGGCGACGAGGTGGCGCGGGTAGCACCCGAAGCCGTCGCGGGAGAGCTCCGCGGTGAACTCCAGCTCAAGCCACTCCTTCAGCATCAGCGCCGGCTTCCCCTCCAACTCCATGGCTGGCACCCTGCGCTTTCTTGCACGGCCGCCCAACTGAATTGCACGGCTGATGGCCGGTGGAGCAGAGGAGACGAGACCTTTGTGACCTTTGGAGTTTGGAGGGTGGTGAACAGAGCGACAGACGCAGACACTACAAGTAGTAATCTTGTCTATAATCTGCCGGATTGTGACACGCACGAGTTAGTCGGAGATTCGGAGTGGGATGGTTTGGGTGGTAGTGTAGTAAAATTTTGTTTGGGAGCCAGAGGTGCAGTGCAGAGGATGTTTGCACTTGGCAGGCCGGGATTAAGAAGCGTGTCGCATGGGTATCGGGATGGTTGCAGCCAAAACAGTGGATGCATCGGATGCTTAGGCCGTTTTCACGCACTATTTGTCGTGTTTCACTGGGTTTAATAACAGCTTATGCGAGCATTGGATTAGAATGACCATCCTCCAAAATTAAACATGTGGTGTGTCCGCAGGTCACCGTCGTCGTGGATACTGGCTAAATACTGGCTAAATAACTGTTAATTAGCTAGAACTTTTTTTGTGTGGGATTAATTAGCTAGAACTGCAGAAACTATATAAGCTTATCAGTGCAAAACTAGAAGGCAGATTTATCTTGGTGTAATTAAATATGTAAAAGGAGCTACTAGTAGTACTGAACTACAGAGAATTTCTTTGTGAGGAAATCACATCCATGCTGTCATGCACTCCTCGGCCCGCTGAGAGACACTTTTCTAGGGCGAACATGCATCGAAGCAACAAAAATTGAGCAAAAGACATCCATAGCCTTGAGTCAGATCTTTTACTTGAGACAGGCCACCTCCCTCTGTCCATGGAAGATGGAGCTTCCAACTTTTGAACTCAAACCCGAACTCGCCGTGGCAAAGCTCGCGTCTCGCTTCGCACGCAAAGCGCAGAGCGCGCTGAGTGGAGCTCCGTGCCGGGCAGCGGGCAGAGCTGGCTTCATGTGACGGCCGAGTAGTTTTAGGGCTCGTCGCTTCCATCGGGACAGGTGCCGGCCGGCGGGTTCAAAAATCGCTGGCATCGTCCGGTCCGGCCGCTCCACCGTTCTACGTGGCCGGCGGCGCTTGGTTGGGCGATAGGCCGCTCGCGTGCGGCCGAAGCCGCTCCCGCGCTGGGGCGTGGAGATCTGCGAGGGTATGTGCGCGGCCGACGTGGGGGGCGCGCACCGCGCATGGCGGTGGAGTCCGGGACCGGCACCCTACGGCCTCGCCTGCCCGTGTTGAACTCCCGAGGATCCCTTCTTGGCTCGATGCGGGCACGGCAATGTCTCTAATATCGGAGTGCTCACCCGTGCTTTGTTGGATTCCATCGGTAGCAGCCTAGCTTGTACTCTCTCCATTCGAAATTACTTGTCTCGAAAATGAATGTATCTAGAAATAAAATATGTCTAGATACATCCATTTCTGCGACAAGTAATTTCGAACGGAGGGAGTAGCAGCTTAGAGCGTATCCAGCCGGGCCCCTAACAGCCCCTCAGTACTTTTTTTGGCGCCGGCACCCAAAAAACGGCTCAGCCGCGTCCTTATGTCTAATTTTTCTGCCGGTTTGGACAGAAATAACTGCCGGCGAACCCGTGCCGAACCTAAGCCCATGGGGTCGCATGGGGCGCCCGCCGATGCGAAAAAGCGCATGGGACCGCTCTGTCGGCGAGACAAGGCCATTTTCCCGCCGACCCCCTTCTTCCCTCCCTCCATTTCCCTCCATTCCCTCCTTCCCCCGCCATTCTCCTCCCTCTCCCCTCCATCCGTTCGTCATGCCGCCAAAGAAGTACGCCGTCCCTCACCCCGCTACCGATGTCGACGCCGATGTCTACTACACAACCTTCTTCTTGTAGACGTTGTTGGCCTGCAAGTGCACAAGTTTGTAGGACAGTAGCAAATTTTCCTCAAGTGGATGACCTAAGGTTTATCAATCCGTAGGAGGTGTAGGTTGAAGATGGTCTCTCTCAAACAACACTGTAACCAAATAACAAAGAGTCTCTTGTGTCCCCAACACACCCAATACAATAACAAATTGTATAGGTGCACTAGTTCGGCGAAGAGATGAAGATACAAGTGCAAAATAGATAGTAGATAAAGGTTTTTGTAATCTGAAATAATAAAAACAGCAAGGTAACAAGCGATAAAAGTGAGCATAAACGGTATTGCAATGATAGGAAACAAGGCCTAGGGTTCATACTTTCACTAGTGCAAGTTCTCTCAACAATAATAACATAGATAGATCATATAACAAGCCCTCAACATGCAACAAAGAGTCACTCCAAAGCCACTAATAGCGGAGAACAAACGTAGAGATTATGGTAGGGTATGAAACCACATCAAAGTTATCCTTTCTGTTCTATCTATTCAAGAGTTCGTAGTAAAATAACATAAAGCTATTCTTTCCGCTCAATCCATCATAGAGTTCATACTAGAATAACACCTTAAGACACAAATCAACCAAAACCTTAATGTCACCTAGATACTCCATTGTCACCTCAAGTATCCGTGGGCATGATTATACGATATGCGTCACACAATCTCAGATTCATCCAACCAACATAAAAGTACTTCAAAGAGTGCCCCGAAGCTATTACCGGAGAGTCAAGAACGTGTGCCAACCCCTATGCATAGGTTTCCAATGTCACGAAACCCGCAAGTTGATCACCAAAACATACATCAAGTGTCACATGATATCCCATTGTCACCACAGATAATCACGGCAAGACATACATCAAGTGTTCTCATAAAGACTCAATCCGATAAGATAACTTCAAAGGAGAAACTCAATTCAACACAAGAGAGTAGAGGGGGAGAAACATCATAAGATCCAACTACAATAGCAAAGCTCGGGATACATCAAGATCGTGCCATAGAGGGAACACGAGAGACAACACAAGAGAGAGAGAGAGATCAAACACACAGCTACTGGTACATACCCTCAGCCCCGAGGGTGAACTACTCCCTCCTCGTCATGGAAAGCGCTGGGATGATGAAGATGGCCTCCGGTGATGGGATCCCCCTCCGGCAGGGTGCCAGAACAGGGTCCCGATTGGTTTTTGGTGGCTACAGAGGCTTGCGGCGGCGGAACTCCCGATCTATCTTCTGTTCTGGAAGTTTTAGGGTACGTAGGTATATATGGGTGCAAGGGGCATGCCGGTGGACCTCCGGGGTGCTCACGAGGCAGGGGGGGCGCGCCCCCACCCTCGTGGGCAGCCCGGGACTCCCCTGACGTGCACTCCAAGTCCATCAGGTTGCTTTCCTTCCAAAAATAACTTCTCCAGTTGATTTCGTTCCGTTTTGACTCCGTCTGATATTCCTTTTCCTCGAAACACTGAAATAGGCATAACACAACAAATCTGGGCTGGGCCTCCGGTTAATAGGTTAGTCCCAAAAATAATATAAAAGTGGATAGTAAAGCCCAATGTCGGTGTCAAAACCGGCGGATCTCGGGTAGGGGGTCCCGAACTGTGCGTCTAGGCGGATGGTAACAGGAGACAAGGGACACGATGTTTTACCCAGGGTCGGGCCCTCTTGATGGAGGTAAAACCCTACGTCCTGCTTGATTGATATTGATGATGTGGGTATTACAAGAGTAGATCTACCACGAGATCAAGGAGGCTAAACCCTAGAAGCTAGCCTATGGTATGATTGTTGTTCGTCCTACCGGAGAGGGCTAGGGTTACACAGAGTCGGTTACAATGGTAGGAGATGTCACATCCTAGCTAGTTCATGCATTAGAGTGTTGCATCATGTCTATTTTTCTCAACAGAAACTTGAAATGGGGATGACAGAACCCCCAGCCCCCTCTGAAACCAACTAGGGTTTACTAAAAATATTTTCAATGAACCTGAAATGCCCTTCTAAAATGTCCATCATTTTTGCCTTGGTTCAGAACCTCTGCCAAAAGTGGTGCACAATTTTCTAGGTCATCCTAAGGTCTTTGAATTAAATCATAAGTATTTGAGTTTCGGCATTTAAATTATATAAATTATTTTAAATGCTCAAATAATCCCAACTAAAATGTTCCATGCTGGATATATTCCAGTTAATGGCCATGAGCAGTTTGGTGAATTTTGGAGTTGTTTAGGTATTTTTAGTAAGTCCACAAAGTTGCAGAACAAATAAAAAAGATAAATAAAAGAGAGAGAGAGGGAACTAACCTGGCAGCCCAACTAGCCAGCCCACCTAGCCGGCCCAGCCCAGCAGCCGCTCCAGCGAGCTGCTTGCCTTTGCTAGGCAGGCAGGCAGGTGCTCGACGGCGGCACCAGCGCGCGCCACGCAGCTGCCCGCCGCCCTGCTTCCTCCCCTCGCCTCTCTGCTGACCGGTATGAGCTCCACGTCGCGCCCCGAACCCCATGGACACGTCCATTCTCCCCCTGCCTCTCTCCCTCGCTCTCCCACGCCATGGCCGACGCCATCGCAGCCGCACCGTCGTCGTAGTCGCGCTCTCCGTCGCCCTCGCGCCGTGCCGTCGTGTCCAGGAGCTCCGCCGCCCTCCTCTTCGTCGAGCTAGCCGAGCCCCGAGCGCTCGTTTGCCCCGAGGCCTCTACACCGACCTCGCCCGACTCCGCCGTCGCCGGAGATCCCCTTCGCCGTCACCACCGCACCAGCTCGTCCCCGACCGCGCCGTCTGGTTCCTCGAGATCGCCGTGAGCCCAGCTACCTCTCCCCCTTTCCTTTCTCGCTCTCGAGCCCTGTAGCGACTGCACGAAGCTCACCCGCACGCGCCGCCGCGGAGCTCGTCGCCGACGTGACTCCGGCCACCCACTGGCCACACCACCATGTCCAACGCACTCACCGCGCTCGTAGGAACCCGTAGCACCTCACCATGAGCCTCGCCGTGCTCCGTAGCTTCGGGTTCATCCTCACCCGAACTCCGGCGACCGCCAAAGTCGTCGCTGGCGCCGTTTCCGGCCACCCCGAGCCCAACCAACACCACCAAGAGCTGCGGCTTGCCCCCAGCTACGCGTAGATGCCCTCCGCGGCTCTTTTGGTCGCCGGAATGCA